AGCAGTAGCACCCTCACACATACACATACGTATACGCGTGCGCGCATGCACACACACACACACACACACACATACACCNCTCTTACACACACCTACATACACTTACACACGCACACGCGCGCGCGTGAGCACATTCTCGCCCACATTTGAACAGATACCTACATACATACATACAAACATACATACAATTGCGCACAAATACAAGACACTGAAGACCGCAACAATAACCATCGGCCGGCTTTGCAGCTTCTATCTGAGTTTGCTGACCATATCTTTGCAGTTTGCTGCCTTTGTGCTTTTGCTGTCGTTGTCGCTGTTGCTGCTTGCCGGCACGACAGGAGAAAAACACCGCGCCACGAAACACCCACAGCAAGAAACGTTGCTCTGAACATATGTACGACATCACTACATCACGAACGGACACAAAGTGGCACCCACGCAGTGAACATACGGGGAAAGACCTTCATGCCGTACTCCCTACACGCCGCACCTTACCAAGGTACAACAACTTCATACCGAAATCCCCCTCCGTCACCAACTCGTCTATCCATTTGCAACGCGCCTTCACCCATAGAATCCAAGAACGATGGCCGACCTTGATACGGCGTGTAACGGCCTCACGGCCGGAAATCTAGGCGCGTTCTAACTAACGTACGACATGTACGGGCGACCGTGCATCCGGCGTCACTCACCGGCAGCGGAAGACGATGTGAGCTTGACTGTGTTGATTATAAGCGTTGACAACGGTGAGACTCCGACGGCGAGGCGCCGTCGGCGAGAAGGCGACTCCGACGGCGAGACGGCGACGGCGAGAAGGCGAGGCGAGGCGCCGTCGGCGTTAGGGCGACGGCGACCTCGCCAAAGGTGAGAAGGCGACGCGATGGCGAGACGCCAGCGGCCGGCGAGAAGGCGAGGCGAGGCGCCGTCGGCGTTAGGGCGACGGCGACCTCGCCGAAGGTGATAAGGCGACGCGATGGCGTGGCGCCGTCGGCCGGCAAGAAGGCGAGGCGAGGCGCCGTCGGCGTTAGGGCGACGGCGACCTCGCCGAAGGTGATAAGGCGACGCGATGGCGTGGCGCCGGCGGCCGGCGAGAAGGCGAGGCGAGGCGCCGTCGGCGTTAGGGCGACGGCGACCTCGCCGAAGGTGATAAGGCGACGCGATGGCGTGGCGCCGGCGGCCGGCGAGAAGGCGAGGCGAGGCGCCGTCGGCGTTAGGGCGACGGCGACCTCGCCAAAGGTGAGAAGGCGACGCGATGGCGAGACGCCGGCGGCGAGACGGCGACGGTGATGAAAATGGCATGACGGTGACGGCTGAGGGGGATCCGGGGATTCGGGCGGGGATTACGTGGTGACAGACACACTACAAGGCGGTTTCGGAGTGGCCGAATTGACAACAGATTCCAACGAAACGCAAGACATGGAACCAAACGACCCCTCGACCATGCCATGCCATCATGCATACCACAACAAAGGGTTGATGATGCAGATTGATTGGTAGTCGGCAATACAAATCCGGCATCCCAAATCCGACATGCTATGGCAAAGCGTTGCAAGACGGCATGGGGACGTGTGAAACGAGGCCCCTCTCGTACTTACATTCTCACCCATGACGGCGATGTACGGCGGTGGCGACGCCTGTGATGCTCGTCGCGCCGATACGTGTTGTCCTGTTGGAAGTCCTCGCCCAGGCTCGCTCAGACCGGTGGCGGGAACGGGCGGGAGGTGGGCGGGGAAATACACACACACACACACGCTGTTAATCAGCTAGCAGGGGACACAACGAGCACAGACTTTGCACAGCAAAACGACATGGGCAGTTGTGCACAATATGCAGAAACGTACTAATACGCACACGGGCACATCGCGGGCAGTTGGGAATTCTCCATCACAAGTAAAAGCAGTAGCACCCTCACACATACACATACGTATACGCGTGCGCGCATGCACACACACACACACACACACACATACACCCTCTTACACACACCTACATACACTTACACACGCACACGCGCGCGCGTGAGCACATTCTCGCCCACATTTGAACAGATACCTACATACATACATACAAACATACATACAATTGCGCACAAATACAAGACACTGAAGACCGCAACAATAACCATCGGCCGGCTTTGCAGCTTCTATCTGAGTTTGCTGACCTTATCTTTGCAGTTTGCTGCCTTTGTGCTTTTGCTGTCGTTGTCGCTGTTGCTGCTTGCCGGCACGACAGGAGAAAAACACCGCGCCACGAAACACCCACAGCAAGAAACGTTGCTCCGAACATATGTACGACATCACTACATCACGAACGGACACAAAGTGGCACCCACGCAGTGAACATACGGGGAAAGACCTTCATGCCGTACTCCCTACACGCCGCACCTTACCAAGGTACAACAATTTCATACCGAAATCCCCCTCCGTCACCAACTCGTCTATCCATTCGCAACGCGCCTTCACCCATAGAATCCAAGAACGATGGCCGACCTTGATATGACGTGTAACGGCCTCACGGCCGGAAATCTAGGCGCGTTCTAACTAACGTACGACATGTACGGGCGACCGTGCATCCGGCGTCACTCACCGGCAGCAGAAGACGATGTGACCTTGACTGCGTTGATTATAAGCGTTGGCAATGGGGGCCCTTGCTTCACGCCGACGCAACATCGCACTGGGGTCTTGGAGAGTTGAAAATGTGATATACGCAGAGATTCTCGTTGCCAGGTGGAATGCGGTCGATCTGGAAGGTCTTGGGCAACTCCAATGAGCAGTCGTCTCTGTCGCGAGGAAGGTCACGGACATCGGACGAAGTGGTCATGTCTCGCCTAACGACGTGTACTTTCCTGCTAGACCGCCTAGCTTTCAGCCTTCGTAGGCTCCTTACACAGCTAAAGCACAACTGTCGGGATTACGCTCAAACGCCGCATACGCCCATATTCTTGCAGCAGAGCGCTGCACAAACACATGCCCGTCGAAAGCCCGTCGACAAAGCCCCTTATGTTTCAAAGATCCATACACAAGCTCGAGAAGCAAACATCTCACCTCAAAAAATGAGTTGCCGCAAGTCGCACCTTGCCCTCACAAATGAGTCAGGCAAGTCGATGTCCGTGAAGCGGCGACGCTGTGCCTGAAGCAACGTCAGCAGGGGTTCAATAAATAAATGCTTGAGATAGCCGCGTAATAAATTAGAGCAATGGAACTGAAGTGCGGCGGCTACAGCATGAAGGTTTTGCAACGAACAGTACCTTGCAAACGTTTGCAGGGTCCACAGCAGCTTCTCAGGGCGCTGCGCAGCTGTTCAGGCTTCCTCATTTGCTGGTCATATGTAGGAAGCTAGCAGCTTTTACGGACGCACCAGAGCTGGAACAGGCCGAAAAGAAGGGCTCAAACGCAGGGTGAAAGCCTGTGATCAAATATCGGACGTTGTGTACATTTGCTAATGGAGCTGGAAGTGCTATGGGAGGTGCCTTTTGTCAGAGGCCAGCTAAATTGTACGGCGCAACAGCTGCAAATCCAAGTGTGTTGGTAAGGTGCAGTCCGGCGAACTCACTTTGTCGACAGTTAGCCTATTAAACGTTTATATTATAGCTGTATGTCACTGCATTATCACGTTCACCTCCGTTCCTCTGCACCTGGTTACGTCCTCCCCGGAAGCAAGATCCCTAAGTGCAAGCCCTTGCAAACAACAGGTCAAGTTATCATGAAGGCCGTTGCTTTATTTTTGCTTATGTGGCATAGCGGGCGATTGACGTAATCTGCCCATGGCGGAAGTGCCAAGAGCTATTGATACAGCGTTATGGTTCTTGAAGTTCTTCTTGAGTATCTAAGGTGCTTTAAGTCACGTTTGCTTACAAAAGGAACTGCGGCCCGAACAAGGGCGCCATGGAACTATCATGGGGGGCTTTCCTTTGACAGGGCTAAGCCATCCGTAGCTTCTTCTTTCGAGGTCATCCATCGATGCACCATCATTGTCACCCAGCACTGCTGTGAGCAGCGAGATCGTGCACCGCCCAGCTCCCTATCACCCTATATCCCTCCCGTTCACCCTCGCCCGTTAGCCCCTTCCCGCCACATTTCCGTTCCCTATCACTTGTTGCTATCCATCCCTTGCTCCAACAAGTTCATGATCAGCTCCATCACTGTGCTGTCATCCCAACCCCAAGTGACAATATGTAATCAGCAGCTGCCTTCATGATGCCGACCGAGCTGCGGTAGCCTGATAGTGGTCCACAGGGTGGCTGCAAGACAGACGGTTCGACACATCCAAGTACAAGAGAGTGTATGTATGATGTATGGGACAGGGGGGTCGTATCTTCACCCTGCAGCCGCTACCTGGCAGATCCTGCCTTCCCCGCTATTTCGGGACACCCATTGCCAACTTCTCTGGGGATCGCTCAGGTTCTGCATCCAACGGAATGATCGCCAGATCGACGGCGGCCCAACTCCTTTCCTTGTCAGCTCGCAAGTCAACTATATCCCAGGTCACCACCGTCCATCGAGTAGGACACTTTTACCTTCCACCGTCGGAAGGATTTTCAACCCTAACTCCTCTCGACTTGACCTGACCAATTGCTTTTTATGACGTCCTGAGTCC